ACCCACTACAAAAACATCCTCCCTGAGCTGATGGGGGGAGATTGGCAGTAGATCTTAAGGAGTTGTCTTTAGTTTTTTCAGCTAACAGTAATAATGCATTGATATTGGCAATCGACCCTTGTGTGTTTTGTGACTGCTGGTGCCCTGCGGCAACATTACATTCACTCCAGCACTTGGCTCTATTCCCCGGTGATGCTGTTTTTGTGGCTGCTGGCTACTCTTCCTAATCATGTGGGCTGGTGTGGATGTGTTATTCCTTCCTCAACTTCCCGACCCCTGGATTTTTCGAACCATTGGTGTTCGAGAAAGCAAGTCTTTCAAAGCATCTTTGTCCCGGCTGTGATTGCGTTTGTCCTGATTAGTAAATTTCTTTTTTTTCCCCCCTAACTCCAGTGGACATCATTGAGCCACACCTAACTGTACATTTTGAAGTTCAAGATGATTATTTTAGAGATGTGGGCAGGGGTTTTACTGGGGAAGGGAGTGTGATTTGAAAAAAAATACTATTGGGTTAAACTCCATCCGTAAGGATTCCCCGCGAGTCTAGTTTTGTGCCAGTTAGCAAGGTTATTTATTATTTGTTTTATCATTGCATATGCATGAGGGAGGGTGAGAGATGGAGCACTCTATTTCACCAAGAATTGAAGTGTACCTACCTAGTGTTTTACCATTGACATGTAATTATTGACCCATGTAATTAAAATAGGTTTGCAGTGATTGCTATTGAAATGCACATTTTGAATATTTTGCTCAGTCAGTGCAAAGGAATCGCTACATCAAGTTTTAAACTTTGGAAGCCTATTTAAGGTGGTGCTTTCTGTATTTTAAGATGGACTTTGAACATTGGAGTATATATTGCTTTGTGAACTCTGGGTCAGGAAGTGTAATTGCACTTCTGGATTGAATCACCAATCCATCCTGAGATCTTGGGTGGAAGGGGGAAACAAGGCAGAGACTTTAGATTGCTCCATGTATATACGTCTTGTTCAGCTAACTACAGAGCATCATAAATGTTAGGAATAGAAAGAATCCCTAATTATTTGTTTCTAGTTTCATTGCGGGGAAGTGAGAATGGTTTAGACTCAACTATAGGAGTCCTGTATTCAGTGGTTAGAGCACTCGCCTCACAAGAGGAAGACCTGGGTTCAATTCTTGACAGGTGAAATCTTGGGCAAGTTTCCTTACTCCGCATGCCTGATGATAATCCCTCAAGAAAAAATATCATCAAACTGGTCACTTCAATCCACAACTGTTGTGGGACACTGCTATGTGCAATTGACTGCCGTGTTTCACCCACAAATATACAGTCAATTCACTTCACAGTATATTCTGTGAAGCGCTTTGAGATGTCTAGAAGATGTGGAAAGCACTATATCAAATGCAAGGATGATTATATGTGTGTAGGGGGAAACAAAAGTGGGCAATAGTAGTTTGCTTGGATACTAAAGTGTTAACTCCTTCATAAAAAGTCTGGAGTCCAGTTGCTTGCAACTCATATAAACACAACTCCACAGCTTTGTAGTACCTTGGAAAAGTTCCTGTTTACTTTTGACAAGAACTATGTTGACATGTTAATTTAATTGGCTCAGACTGTTTGTGCCTTAGCTGTAAAACAAGTTTCTACTGTGCTGTAAAATAGAAAGCATGTGTGCACTTCAGGAGGGAAGGGGGATATTTCTGAAAACTCTTAATTTACTTAACCAGATCTGTGAATTAATTCCATGAAGTTTAGTGCTATCTACCCTAAATGGCAAGCATTTAAGAATCCTTTGTCTCCAGTTGTTTGAAGACCTCTTGTGAGCTCTGCTGTAACTGCAACTTCACTGTTGGCAGGAGTGTGTGTGTTGGGGGTGGGGGGGTGGGGTGGTGGAGGAGAGAGTCCACAATGCTATTGATCCTAATTTTAGTTTCCCTGATTGGAATTCCGTAATTCTATTCAGGTCTGAACTGTGCGATAGAGGAGCATTTTTTGGAGATTAAGTGTACCGAGTGTTCTTTACCCTGCTAGTTAGTTTGTAAATTCCTCATTTTATTAGCTAATTTGTGAAATAGCCTTAGGAGCTTGGTCTAATATTAACAAGAAGTTTTATGTTGTTTTAGTAACACATGATGTAATGTTCCCAACTTTAAACTGTTTGAAGCTTCTCCTCTTGAAAAACAAATCTGTTCAAAATTATCCAAGCCAATTCCAGCCATTCTATACAATAAGCTGTGTCTGTAGGGAGGATTGCTTCAGGATATAGGTTTACATTCTTACCATGACTACTTCAGATAACTGAAGTAGTATTTCAGTTGAAGTAGGCATTTGTGCTCCAGGTTTGGTTTTACTTTCTGTTGCAATTTGTGGCAAGCTATCTTGCAAACTTGTGAGGTATCGTAATTATGCATACAAATTGTAAGTTTATCTTCTGAATAGATGTGTATGCAGGATTCTCAATTGGCTCACATACTATGTAATTATCTTGCTTGTTTAGATTGTTGGAGGCATTACTATTTAACTCAGACTGGTACCTTAATCTCTACTCCAATCCCTATTGATATGTAACGTGATTTATTGAAATGCAGCATTACCAAAAAATATACTTGTGCATTTATAACTGTGACCCAAGGCTTAAACCTGGAGAAGGCTTCAGTGCATTTTTGTTGGTGAATGCTAGCAAGGTCCAGTTTTTACTTTGTATGATGAGGTAAAAGACAGATTGTTCATAAGTATAAACAGGTTGCTTTTGTTGCACTCTAAGTGCACCTTACAGTAAATAATTGTTCAGATTGGGCTATGCCAACCCCTGTAGTCCAAATGATGCTATTTTACTACTAATAGTGGAAATTGTGCTTCTTCACTTGTGCTTTTGGAGATTGGAACAGTTCCATCTTTTTGATCCCTTTCTCACTTTCTATTGCTAAGAAAAGCATTATTCATATCCCCAAAGTGCTCAAGCAAAAATATAAAAGATTGCTCCTCTGTCAGCAAGTGTTACAAACATCTCGTTATCCAGGAGATTTGGAATTATTTGTCTTCCTAAAACGGAAAGCTTACAACATGGGAGAGAAAATGCTGTGAAGTGTGAAGCTATGATTAAAAGGTGCCATTGCTCAACTTTACTTCTGTGGTACATTTTTATTCTACTTGCGGATATATTCTTTCAGCCTGGACTAGATGTGGTGTAACATTACACTCATTAATTTTGTCATTAATTTTTCATTTCTTGTTGGCATTACTGTAATCTTAGTATGTTGCAGTCTATGCATTCCATTATGGTCTGAAAGGCTTTTAAACTACATGTGAACTTGTGGGAATGAACTTTTATCAAAGTCCTTTATGCATTGGTTCACACTACTCATAATTGTTCTTCATTTCTGGGAGGGAATAAAATTGACATTGTGGTGATAAATCATTCCCAGGATATTCCCTGTTGGGTTAAAGCTAAAATGACTTGGGTTAAGAAAGGATTGAGTTGAGAAGGTTTATGGTCCCCTGTCTAAACTCAAAATGAACCTCCAGCTACAGTTCCCATGGCTGGCATTTCCTGTTGAGGTCTCAGTTGTAATGGTTAGAATTCTGGTCTTGTCTGCTTACAAACTTATTGAAACGTCTGTTATAGTGAACCGCTTTGAAGTTTCTTCTCAAGTGAAACCTTATTAAAGAAAGTTGATTGGCTAAAAGGGTTTAATTTATTGTGTGTATATATCTGTTAAACATACAACCTCTGAATGTTTGTGCAGAATTTGCTGTATTTATTTGAAGTTTTCTTTTAGACTCGATGGAATTTCAGATTTTCTTTCCCTTTTCCAACCCTTAAAATGAGGCGACTTGTGGAAAAAATACCTTATTGTTTTCGAGAGGTTTGGGTTTAGCTCAATTGGCAGAGCACAAGTATAGAAGGTATTTCTAATAATCAATTTAATTAAATCCTTATATAACCAATCAGTAACTACTATATTGTACATAGATACAATATCTTTCTGCCCCAGAAAATGTGCAGATCAAAACCTCTCCTTTATCCACCCTCACTTTTTTCAGGTTGTCTACAACAGAGTGGGTGGGCAGTGGTCTGCTCTCAGGCCCCTGGCTATGCCAGACTTGCATCAGTAACAGCAGAGCAAAATTGGTCATCTCATTTTCCCTATTGGGAAAGTATTTCTGTGTAGGCCAGGTTCAGGAGGTCAGCTAACAAATGGAACTTTGTGTGTGAGGTAGTCGTCAGCTACTGAAATCCTTCGTTCAAATTTTTTAAAAAAAGATCTAATTTTAAAAAAAACTCACTCTATTTTGTTACTTTGAGATTTATCAGTTTGTTTTGCTGAGAATTTACTACCTGTAGGAAGTATGTGTGTTTGCGAGTGTGTGCGTGCATGTGTGTATGAGAGAGAGTAAGGAGGGACGCTGATGGACCTGACGGATTAGTGTTGTCACTGGGATGTCAGGAGAGTAATGATAACTGTGCAAAATTTTGTACTATGCCCATTTGAACTGTGAAAAATGCCCAATGGCACAATTATAGCTCTTGGACAGGACATTCCTTGGGTTGCTAAGTGTACTGATGTGAACTAACATCTAGCATTCCACTCCTCTTAATCCACATTGTTAATGTCACTATACAGAGCAATCTGAGGAATGTCTCCTCCTTTGTCCTTATAGATTTGAGCTGTATTCAGAGCATTTTGATTTGTATAATACCAGTTACCTACTTGTGCCTTCTGTAGTGCCACCATCTCCAGTAATGACTTGAAATAGTTTTGAGTTAAAGTGAATGGATTTAACTGTGATATTAGTTGTGAAATACGTTAAATGCATTTTGTTACAGACTTAATGAAGGGTTCATAATCTTACTTAAAATTCATGTACTGTCCTTAAATTTATTATGTGTTGTAAATTTTCCTTGTGCCTGACATTCCTAATATAATGAATATGTATTAAATATGTTGATGAAATTGAGTTACTAGATTCATTAAATATTCCTGGAGCTGTGTGATTAACATTCAATCCTTGCCTTTTACAGAATTCTTCACAGAGCTGCTGGAAAATGCACAGAAATCCTTGAATGACATGTTTGTACGAACTTATGGCCTCCTGTATATGCAAAACTCTGAAGTGTTCCAGGATCTATTTAAGGAGCTAAAAAGGTACTACATGACTGGAAACGTAAACCTGGAAGAGATGCTGAATGACTTCTGGGCACGTCTTCTAGAACGCATGTTTCAGCTGGTAAATCCTCAGTACCATTTTACCGAAGGGTACCTGGACTGTGTTAGCAAATACACCGAGCAACTAAAACCATTTGGAGACGTACCTCGCAAGTTGAAGCTTCAAGTGACGCGAGCATTCATTGCTGCTCGTTACTTTGCACAAGGTCTTGCTGCTGCACGTGATGTAGTGAGCAAAGTGTCTGCAGTAAGTACGAAAAAAAATTCTTATTTTATTGATGATGTGATTCCAATCTCGTTCCTACTCTGACTGCCGGAACAACTGCTTAGCATTGGTTTGACCGCAGCACCAAAATTACAAGGCTTTCGTCACCATAACTCATTGTCCATTGTACAGCTGTGTGGCTGTCCTCATAAATTAATCTTACGTAGCCTAGAAACATTGGAATTTACAAAGCAATTAATCATGTAAATCTTGCATCTTAGCGATGTGACAGTTTTCATCTCTTCTACCCCGCCCCCCCAACCCCTTCTTCCCTCTGTCCAGATTGAGCCATGTCCCTTCTGAATTCTACGGTTGAGGTGGTATTTGCAGCATAAACAGCATTTTGTTTCATAAGTTGACAACTTTAAGCATGATGAAATTATGCCTTGAGTTTATCGCTCGGAAAAGTTATTGTATAATGTAGTGCTCTTGCTTCCCCTTCACTGGTTATCCACAAAATGACTCTTGATCCACATAATTGATCATCTTACTTATTTCAAAAGCATGGATCATACTGCCTTATTTTATCCACATATTCTTTGCTTCCTTGACTGCTCTTGGTTCAATGATCTGAAACCATCTTTGTTCTGGTCTGAATCCTCCACATTTTTGTTTCTATGACCACCACAGCTGGAGACAATACTCCACATCTGCTCTCACTAATACTTTATAGTAACATTTTCAATGAACTTTGCATTCTATAAGATCTGTTTATAAATCTTAACGTTTTCTTTTGAACTCTGGTCCTACATTACAACAATCTTTTTCGGTCGTCAACTATTTCACCTACAATTTGTACAGCCTTGCATTTCTCACATGCAAGTGCTATTTTCCATTTGAATTCTCTGAATATCCTGCTTTCTTGCCCAAATTAGTAGCATGTATAAGACAAGGTATTGCACCTTTACCAAAATGTTCATTAATATTGTGAATGGCAAAGTTCCCTGGTCTAAGCCAAAGCCATATCCTTGTAGAACGTCAGTGAATTAAGAATGACCCGCTCTTTTGTTATAATTCATTTAGCTTGGATTAGTTTCCTTTACACTTGCTGAGTGCACTTGAATAACTTCCTTTATGAGGATGACTTTTTTGCTTTTAGCTATTAGCTAGTAGGTCTGGAATACCTCATGATCCTGAAACATAACTGTTGTTCAATCTCCTAGTAATATCCATGTATACAATACGCTCCAAATATTTCAGCTACTACTTTATTTCCTAAAGTATTAAATATTCCAACAGAGAGCTATAGCTGAAGGAAATAGAAGCCTTATGTGGAGCGTAAACAACAGTACATGCTATTTGGGCCGAATGCTTCTGAGCTGTATCACTCCATACAACAACAACAACAATTTGCACTTATATAGCGCCCTCCACGCTGGGTAGCATCTCAGAGCACTTAACAGTGATGGAGCCTGACTCTGAGCTCGGGGTGGGGGGAGGTGGCCGTAAGCATGGTCAAAGAGGACGGTTTTCAGGCGGTACTTGAAAAAAGGGAGAGGGGGCAGGATGGAGGAATTGAGAGAGAGTGTTCCAGAATTTGGGGTGTAGTAGCTGAAAGCACAACTTCCAATGGTGGGGAGTAGTGTGCGAGGGACGAACAGGAGGCAGGTGCCAGTCGAGTGGAAGAGCTGGATGGTGGATTGGGGAGTGGACAGGTAGGGAGGTGCCAGAGTGAAAGGATTTGAACACGAGTGAGAGGATCTTGAAGTCGATCCATTTGATGATGGAGAGCCAAGTAACTAATATAATAATAATAATAATCCCTGCATTTGATATAACGCTTTTCACATCGGGAGGACGTCCCAAAGCGCTTCACAGAACACACTGTAAAGTGAATTGACTGTATATTTGTGGGCGAATGCGGCAGCCAATTACGCACAGCAATGTTCCACAAACAGTTGTAGATTGAAAATGACCAATTTATTATTGTTTTGGGTTTTGGAGGGATTATTATTAGGCTCTGTGTGGAGTAAGGAAACTTGCCCAAGGTTTCGCCCTCTGCCTGGAATTGAACTCAGGTCTCTCGCTTGCAAAGCGAGTGCTCTAACCACTGAGCTACAGGACTCCACAAATATACCTTCAAGTAATTTGATAATTTTATAAATATTCAAGTACGTCAAATGTTTTAATGGGAAAATCACCACTAATAATTCTTTCAAATATTTTCTTCAATTTGAATTGCATATTAGCAGCTTTTAAATTACATTTTTAATTTGCCGTCTGCACTCCCTTAAATAAATTAGGACAACATTTTTTTTACCCACGAGGCAGAAGTGGAAATTGTGCCCTTCAGTGGAGCGGTGCAGGAAGAATGGACCATCTGTGTAAATGTCATAGATATAAAATTATTGGAAAATGTGGGTGGTAAAAGCCCAAAGGCATACTTTGACTAATTTAGCAAATTAAATTATTTACTGCTCAGTGCTGCTACTGGAGTTGTTTTTTGTATCAATTCAAAACATGCTCATTATATTACTCAAAGCAGTGAAAGCTCTGAACGGAGATGAGTACTGTATGATGTACTGTACGTAGACTAACAGGAGAATTGAAGTTGGGAGGCAGCACTTTTTCAAAATACAGAGGACGAGGAGGGGCTGAAGCACTACCAAAAGCAATACTTGCTTATTCCAAGGGATCCTCTTCCAGAAACCGGGTGCTCTGGTATTATTATTACAGTAGCCATTGTGGCTCTATTGAGTTCAATTAGGTCTGATTTGGTGGGAGATTGGAATGCCAAGCATTAAGCCGTCTCCGGTTACTTGAAATGATTCCATTACAAGTTGTCCATAAGGTAAATGCAGCAATGCTACCACTTATTCCAGAAATTTGTATCAATCCAGCTCTTTGCGTGTTTGTGAAAGTTTTTCCAGCATTGGAGTATTGTTGGCCTCTGTCCAGTTGAGAGTTACAATATTGTATTCATTAGTTTGACTCTGATGGCAGCCGGGTGCCACATATTGTGGATTAACATACCGCCCAGAGGCAGAAAGACTCTTGTAGCTGTGAAACCAAGAAGCATTGAAGCCATCACCTTTAACACCTTTTTATAACCAGAGCAGTTGAATCATTATAAGAGACTAAATGAAGCTTGGCACTCCACCAATGTGATTGGGGAAAAAGTAAATCATTATGTGACTGACCTACTATGTTTATTTCACTGTTGACCTTTGATGCCTTTGTTGACTGGAACAAACCTGTATTTAGTTTTATTGAAATAAAAGCCACAAAAGTAAAAATTCAAGGGCATAGTCCTTTGACAATTAATGCAGCTTTGAAACTGTAGTTCAGTAATCTACAGTTTTTAAAAAACTTCCTGGAGGCAGCAGCTTATAGCACGTTGCAAGCAGTCATCTATTACCTTGCCAAAGTGATTGCTTGTTGTGCAGGTAGGTTACTCAGCCGTGGGGGCATTACTGCTGAGCCAACATCTTTCCCATCCACTTCTATAGCACAGGGTTACTGCAATGCTGCCATTGTTAACATCGGGTATCTCAGTATAAAGCAGGAACTGAACCTTGGGATTACCCCTTGATCAATGTGCACATTCTGGCTGGTTTATTGAGTTTCATTTGCAGTGTACATACTTGCATAGGTTTGACATTTTATGTCACTTCAGTGTTTCAAGTCTTATGATATATTGTTTTGGGGAGATTGCAGAGAAGGGAATTGGTCACATGTCTCCTTGCAGCTGAATTACAACGTTTACTCCTTGGTAAATTAATAGGATGTAGAATTTGATACTTTTAACATGTGCTTCACCATCTGCTGTGTGAGCTGATGTAAGTTAAGATTCTTAGAAACATCTTATGATCAATCCTTAATCTGGTGTTTATTTAGGTTCTAGATTTGTATAAAGACACATCCTTTACATATGTAATCAAATATACTATTTATTTGTAAACATGATATTTCTAATTATTGTATAGCACTGTGGAGATTTAAACTATGGATTGTTCTCTTGATGCCTTATTTAGTGAATTGCTGATGACATCTGGGCAGTTGGACAAGGAAGAGTGAGCCATAGAATTGTGAGAACATGCTGTCTGGAAATGAGACTTGAGTGGAAAGTCAGGGATCTGATGCCGGCCCCTTTCCAGGAATTGTGTAGAGTGAGAAAAATTGAAAGAGAGAGAAAAAAGCCTTTCTATCCTCCTAAAAGACTGCCTTTTAAATCAGATTTGAAATGAGTCATGAAATCCATACTTGTGTTCGTTTCCCAACATTTTGGGTGATTTATTAAGTGATCTCACAGCTGCAATGCCAGGTGTAGCTTTGGAAGGTGGGAGCTGCATTAGACATTGTGTTCACTGTTGATGAGGGGAAATAATGAAAACAAATGTTTAATTCAATTTTGTGCATTTTTTTAATACTTAGCACATAAAGATGGTCAAAAACTACCTCTTTGCAGCAATTATTCAAGCAATAGATTTATCTTACAGTCTATCAGTAGTTAGTAGTTTCTGTGATTTTAATTTCAATAAATTCTGAGGCCTCTTGGGGGAAGCTGAGCATCTCTTGAGTGAAAAGTGCCAAAAATACTTTCTTATTTACATTACCTATGTTGGTTTGGCGTTTTCTTTGTCTAGAATATTGGGTGGATTATGCAGACCTTGGTCACAGACAAAATCCATTTTATTAAATGTATCTGATGTAATCTTTACACCAACTTGGTGGATCTGTGCTAATATGTGGAGTCCTGTAGCTCAGTGGTTAGAGCATTCGCTTTGCAAGCGAGAGACCCGAGTTCAATTCCAGGCAGAGGGCGAAACCTTGGGCAAGTTTCCTTACTCGACACAGAGCCTAATAATAATCCCTCCAAAACCAATAATAAATTGGTCATTTTCAATCTACAACTGTTTGTGGAACATTGCTGTGCGCAATTGGCTGCCGCGTTCGCCCACAAATATACAGTCAATTCACTTTACAGTGTGTTCTGTGAAGCGCTTTGGGACGTCCTCCCGACGTGAAAAGCGCTATATCAAATGCAAGGATTATTATTATTTTGTTTGCCCACCACTGAAGCCACAATAATGGCAAACAACACAGACTAAATAAACAAACTGATAAAAGGGACCCAATTTACAGTGACTAAATGAAACAATGCAAAGGTAATGTAATAAAAAGGCTGCTTCACCAGCAGAACTCTCAGACCGGGTCATGTCTCTGCAGCAAAGCTTTATTTTCTGCTAATGTTCGATGGAATTTTATGGTTACTGAAGTGAATGCATTGTAAGCTTTTTGACATTGCATATCTATGTAGCTACAGAAACTTTAATAAACGTGGTGCAGTATGTTATTGCCGAGTTGACAATCTTCATAAACGAAAATGACTTTCTCACAAGATCAGGTTTTTGTCTTAAAGTATTAGCTGACTTTGTGTTCTTGGACACAGCACAATTGGTAACCTGCCTACCTGAGCCACTTTCTAAAACAGTATAATCCTCTTAGTAAGTTTGACTCTTTGAGCTTGCTTTTGAAAGGATAGATTTTTTACATGGGAGATTAACTGAACCTGTAACCTTATATACAGTATTCAACTTTCTAAAAAATGTGAGATTGTATTAATTATAGTTTTTATTTGTACACCTGGCTTTGGTGGGTGATGTAGAAAGGAGGTGAATATTCGTCAGAGCAGCATTTGGCACATTGCGTTCAAAAACGTGCAATCAAACTGAAGTGGTTGTTGGGTTTCTGCCAGACGGACATGAAAGGGTAATAATAATGCAGTGCAGTAATGCATTCCTCTCGCGATTTTCTTGCTCTACTCCTTAAATTTAACAGACTTAGATAAAGATTGTTTTCCTATTCACTAATGGGGGGTTGTATCCTTTTCAGTGACTTGCCCGGTGGCCTGTCGCCTTGCCAGATACCGGTACACAGATTCTTTTTTAGAGAAATTCCCAATCTCGCCCATGTTGTGTGAGTGGGGGGTGGGGGGCAGGTGTGGAGGGTGGCGGTTTCAGTGTATGGGGTGGGGGGTAGGTTTGAGAGGAGATGACAACTGGAAGCCTGGAGCCTAGTTCTTCCCCAAAGAAGCTAGGAGAGCACATCTACCAAGCCAGGTCAATTTCTGTGTCCTTTCTTGTATTTTCAGAGTTTAGTTGTTCAAACTCAGTCCTTTTTTGAAGGATGTTGGAAAGAGAAGAGTGATTGTTTGGATTTTCATTCATGTTGAATTTTTCTTGCCTTTTTATTTCAGATGATTGGAACTGCATATGCACTTAATGTCTGTACGCTAGGTGTACTTGAGCACTAGCTTATCTCCTTAACTTAAAGAATAGTATTCGAATGTGAGAGGGGGAATAAAGGAACAGGAGTAGGCCATTCAGCCCATTGAGCCTGTTCCGCCATTCTATTAGATCATCGATGATTGGTACCTCAACTCCAATTACCCACCTTTGCCCCATATCCCTTGATACCCTTATCTAACAAAAAATCTATCCACCTCGATCTTGGAGGAAGGGGAAGAAAATAGAATAAGGTTTTTTTTTACCAACTAACGGCCTACCTACCTTGGAGAAATTCCAAATCTTTGAGTGAGAAAACTTCCTGTTGTCAATTGGTAGCAACAGGCCTCCTAGATGAAAAGCATTTGGGTGATGTAGTGCGGGTCACTTGTAGGAATGCAGCCTGCTGCATACATGCTGCATATATATTCTCAGGTTGGGTGTGATCCTAAGCAAGATGAAGTACAATCTATTCAGGTTGCAGTCCACTTGGAATACTTTGTCTTTATAGAAACCATGTTTTCTTTAAACAGTGAGGCAAAAAAGATGGTGCACATTACTATACATTTTCAATTATTAGTTTTTTTGTTCCTCAAATGTCCCTGTTGTTAAAAGTTCATGCAGGTGGATTCATGTCCAAAGACCTGGTTTTGGCCACTTGGTTTTGTTGCTCAATAAGGCTTTAAAGTTTTCCAGCTTAATGACTTGTTTATACAATGTTGGGATCCAGACTGTGACTATTCAGGATATGTCTGAGTTGCCCTCAACCAGTCAGTAAGAAGTGGCAGTCACTTGATTCAGGAAGAGTTATTTCTTCCCTTCTTCCTACAATCTGCAGGTTTCCAAATTCCCAAGTTAAAATTTCCTCACCTTTGCTCCTGGATCTATCTAATCTGCTCCCCTATCTGGCCCTTCACCTAGTTTTCTGAACAAGTTAAAGATGCTAAACTACTTTTTGGATGGATTAACCAGTTCACCTGGATGAAGGTAATTATAACTAAACAAAAACATGGATTTTTATAAAGCTTAAATATGTATAAACTTTAGGGATTGAAAGTAATAAATGTATATGTAGATGTGCATATTTACTTTCTTTTGGGCCTGTGTTAGTTCTACTGCAACTTTTTTTTAAGCAAATAAATGCTATCTGATTATACTAATCGTTGCCTCAGAGCTTGGACTGACCTTAGTTCAGTGTTATTTCAGCACTAAAAACGCAAGTGAAATGGGTCTTCTGTTAATTACTTTTAAATGGTTGTAAGAAGTTTAAATGAGTTTTCAGAATGAACTCCAGGGACATGGGGGCTAATTTTAGCAATCCTCTTTGCATCCTTAATGAGATAGGCAAGCTTGGACCATTTGTGTTCTGTATACTTAGTGCCATACACTGGGCATTTACACAAAAACTGCAAAAGTGCCCTTAAAAGTTAAATTTGACTATTTTACCTCTTAATACCCTTTCCTAAAGGATACAATCTGACTTTGTGCTCCAGATCAGCACATTACTCAGGTTGCTTTTCTTGCAGTCACCTCTGATTTGTTAAGCATCAACTGAGTCAAAACTGCAGCTTGTGAATAATTCACTATTTAGTCCATATCGCCAAATATGAGAGTTAAATATGTCATTATTAATTAAACAGCGACTAAAATCCTTAAATGAGCCTCAATACTGCTTATAGATGGGCCAGGATGGATTGTTAAAGTTCGACAGCTCAAAACAAGATTTGCTCATCTTTTTTATATACTTATGTGTCTGACATTTTCCTCTTCATGTCTAAAATTGACAACTACAATTGAAAATGACAATGTCAAAGTGTGCATCCTGTGTTAGGAAAGCAAACCCAGTGGCTCTGTGGTTGCCAGTGTGAACAGTTTTGTGCACTGGACTTCATAATTTAATTTAAGGATGCTTTAAATGGCAGTAAAAAGGGTAGACTTTTACTCCCCGAGCCTTCACTGAATTAAAACTTGGGTGACGCAGGTAGAATGGAAAGGGTGCTTATTCATTCATCATCGCAGTCCACTGCAATATTAACTTTCCCTCAGACATTCAAGTAAAAGGTCTGCACATGTAGCATACTGGACAAGTACATTTTATGTACATGGTTTGACATGTCCTCAGATTTTTATTTGTAGTGGTTACCCAACTATGTGAGCAGAAATTGCAGATGGAAGGAAGCATTGTTCTGGAAGCGTTGTTGGAAACAAGACAATTCTATCTTTAACACCTTTATAAATGCAGTTGTTGGAAGGCAAGTTTAAACTTTTATCGTTAGCAGCAGCTGAAGTGTGTCTTTACAGATTTGACGCTCCGATTTGTTGAGTTCTTTTCAGGGTTTACTATTGAAATTGCCACAAATGCACATTTTGGACATTAGCAAAACAGTGAGTTACAGGCATCCTGTTGTTTCGGTTTCTTGTCCTGTAAAGAACTCTGCTTTCAAAGCCTGAATAGGTTATATCAGGACTTGCAGTGTGGTTGGTTCCTTTTTATGACTAATAAACTGAAGCTATATCTCTCTGCAGATCACAACTGGAGGAACCAATTCAAATATTTTCACACCTCCTGATAGCTATTTTTCCACATTCTGTCTGTATCGTCTTATCAGTAATGTTTCACAGTGCAGTTATCTCCTGGTCATTAACCATCTGTCACTATTTTCCTCCATTAAATAAATATTATTTGTTTTGTTCAAAGGACACTACAACTTCATCCACACTATTATGAATCTGAGTGACGTCTGTGAAACCTAAGCAGTGTTCTGGACACACCTCAGAGGTGGTTTATTGCACATCATCAACGTTGTAGTAGGGTAGCTATAAAATAATGTGCATGGATGTGTTTGGGAAAAACTCTATTTGCAGAACTAAGAAAATAAAAACTAAACTTGCTTCAATGAGTATCCAGTTAATGTGATGAAATGACTGGCAATGAGCTATTGAATATTCAAATGTGCATTTTTTTTAAAAATAGGTCAATCCAACTGACGAGTGCGTGCAAGCGCTGTTGAAGATGATGTATTGTCCGCACTGCAGTGGGTTGCTTACTGTGAAACCCTGCAACAACTATTGCCTCAATGTCATGAAGGGCTGCTTGGCTAATCAGGCGGATCTGGACACCGAGTGGAACAACTTCATTGGTGAGTTTTTCCAAAACCTTTCAAAGCTTTGGTAAACATGATGTTGACGGAGGATAAAATTCCTTATTTCGTTGAGTAATATACATATGCATTCAAGAGAAAGCTAGACTTTTGCATGAAAGAGAAGGGAATAGAAAGGTATTGGAGGCAGTAAGAGACTCGTAGAGTATAAGCACTGACCGGCACAGACTAGCTGAGCTGAATGGCATGTTTCCGTGCTGTACAATCTATGTAAATCTGTGTAAATTAATACAGTTAATACAACTCTGTGACTGTAGGTTAATATAAAGCAAACTTCCCTGAAATTTGGAATTACCTTTTTCAAGGTGTTAATATCGTACTATAATAACGATAAAAATCTTTGCATTTAATATAGCACCCTTCATGTTACAAAGTCATCTCAAAGCGCTCCACAGCATTTTCACTCTAAAGTGCAATGACTGTATTTTATAAGTTAATATAGTTGTTGAGGGAATATCATTTACCATTTTCCTGCTATGAATTTCTATTTGTAAGTGTATCTTGAATCAATTTGACATTTAATGTTTTTTCCTAGTTGGGCCCATTTTGAATAATTTAAGTGGACTTATTGGAAGACATGACATGGCGGCATTGTCTCCAATAGCTTTTCCAATAGTGGAGCTGGACAGGAATTGTTTTCACCCCTGCTTTCTTTTCCTTCCTACTCTGTGCACAGCTGCCAGGCTATGCGATTAGGTAACTGACATGCTTCCACCAATGCCTTGTTGTATCCAAATAAACAACACTGTCAAAGAAAAGGTTGGTGATGTGCAATAAACCACCTCTGAAGTGTCCAGAACACTGCTCAGGCTTTGGTACAATTGGTTGGGCAAAACAATTGCAATGAACAGCATATTTGAGCATTTAACCAAAAAAGGAGTTACCAACGTTACACAGCTGCTACCATTCATTCATTCATACTCTGCCTCTGGGCTTTTACAAATGCATTTTTCTCTAGGTCAGACCATGTCATAGAGATGGTGGCTGAACAATTTTCAAAAGCCACACAGTAGTAAACCATTCTGCCAAAGGTCACTGGGGTGTTCAGAACTGAAACTAGTTTAAGTATCAACCAAAATGTCATGTTTCTTATTCCATTGAATCTGTTATGAAATGTTGCAAAGATTAACCCATGTGCAAAGCTTGGATTATTGGTGCTTTTTTCAAACACAAAGCTTCAGAGAACTTTGGCAGAAAGTTGCTCGAAAGTTGCTCTGGATCACACTTTCTTTATGAACGTGTAATTCACCAGCTTTTTCAGCTTGATTCAGTGGTAGCATTCTCACCTCTGAGTCAGACGGTTGTGGGTTCAAATCCCGCATTGTATAAGATGCTACTCCAGTGCAGTATTGGGGGGTTGTCAAAGGTGCCGTCCTTCATATGTGATGTTAAACCGAGGTCCCATCTGCCTGTTCAGGTGGACATTAAAAATCCCATGACACTATTCAAAAAGAGAAGGGAGTTTCTCCTGATGTCCTGGCCAACAATCCCCCAAATAAACTTGATCACTCATTTTATGGTTGTTTGTGGGACATTGTTGGGCACAATTGTGCTGCTGCATTTGCCTACAAATACAATCACTTCATTTCATAGTAAAATCCTGTGAATCGCTTTGAGACGTCCTTCTGACATAAGGTGTTATACCAAATGCAAGGATTCTTATTAAGATTATTATTTAGGTGGTCTTTATCTGGACAAGTGGCAAAACTTGTTCCACTTGGTGAGAGAAAGTGGGCTGAAATGGCACAGATTAAGCAAGATTGCAGGATGAGGAGGAAGAATGAAATCTTCAGTAAGTTTATTTTTAAACGTGAAACAAAGAAAATGCATTTGAAATGGGTTTGTGAGAAATGAACTAGCACAGGTTAGTGAGAAGTGAACAGGAACATAGGCGGAAGCATGATTTTAAATGGCCAGACCTTTCAATCTGTAGACAATCCATTTCTCACAAGCTTCGTCTTTCACAGAAAGGATTTTTTTTTAAAAAAGGCTGAAGTTTCTGCACAGCCCTGAAATAGGAGCAAAATACAGAATGAGAATTTTTAATAGGTTCAGCTGAATCATAAAATTCTATACTCTCTTTTCGTTGCTTTTGCACGAAAGCTAATGGAGTGAGTTTCAAAATGTATCTTGTTCTGGTGTCAGATATGCTGATGACTTGCACCTTAATTAATACAAAAATCTATTTCCAACTTTGTTTGAAATCCTACTATAATATAGACTCAGTGACGGATGTGCTCTTAAGTCTGCTTTATACGGTCAAAGATGAACTCTTTTAACTAAGCTTGTATTGCCTGTGGTTGGAAAATCTATGAGTCACTGCAATTTAATTTTAGTATTGAGCTTATGTCGCATTTTTCTCTTTGATCTATGTGCATTTTCAGATATCTGGAACTGCTTCTGCTTTTCCAGAGCTGCTGATTGTAAATAATTTTGGTTGCTGTGCAACTATTGCCCCGCAATAGTTTGATAAACGATGGAGTGAAAAATTCCATGCTTAACCCGAATAAATGGGAATTGAGTAGAGTTGGCGCTACAAATACTTTCCCTGGTTCTTTGAGGATTAAGTAAACTTTCACGAGTGCTGACCTGTTGCTGTTGGCTATGAGGAGCATATACACACACTGCATGAATGCCCACAGAAGGTCAGAATTATGTTGTGTGCCTGCAGGTGAGCAAATATGGGAGCTTGCTTCATTTGAATGCCAGCTTCCAATGCCCAGAAGCTGGATAGGTCGGGTCTGTAGGTATGAGTAAATGCAGCTGTGAAATCTGCATACCAGCAACCACAATTGAGACAGATTGTATGGTGTTGGCATTTTTTAAATGCTGTCAGTCAGAGCTACTGGAAGGAAGCCCCTGTCTGTCAGGTTTGATGTCGGGTTGATCCAAGCCAATTCTTTGCATCGGCAAACTGATTTCCCTCAATACAAATACCTCCCCGGTAGATTGTTTTTAAGAACATTTTTTTTCTTTCTTTTTTATTCTCCCCCTCCCATGCACAAGAATTAAATGTGGCACCCTGTCCATTTTGCCCACAAATTTAATAAATAAATAATAAATAAATAAATAAATAAATAAATAAAGGTCAATTCACTTTACAACATTGTCTGTGAAGCGCTTTGAGACGTCGAGAAGACGTGAGAAGCGTTATATCAAATGCAAGGATTATTTTTATTATTATTTCTATTTCTGCTACTAATAATCAGTATAAACTCCCTTGATCAATTATTGCTCCGCCCGCCCAACCCATCTTTCATGCACAGTCATGGCTGCTCTGTAGGAAGCTGAATGCATTTTCTATATCAGCAGTCAAAGAAGGAACTGCCAGCAATCATTCACATTCCTAAGCTGTGATACATGTAATGCCATGGCACCTCAAGTAACAAGAGTGCACATCAGCCCAGCATTCCCATGCTCTTCTGCATGGCCTGGCTGCCTTTAAGTTTACAAAGACGCCAAAGAACCAGAAGAATTGGTTTTATGTTTCTTTTCAGGCTTTTACAACACATCAGTAATCTGGCCCTTTTTATCTTGTGGTGTGGGAATAATGTGGAAAAAGTTTAAGAAGAATTTTAAGCATGTTACTGTATGTGTATATTCTTTATTCATAATGTGTTAGGGGTGGTTGGCTGGAAAACGAATGACCCTTCTTGAGAGCAAACTGATTTTATTCTGAGAGCTTCCATTAGTCATTTAAATTTGAAATTTATTTGCTGATTTCCACCTCACCAAAAGGCTATTAAGTCATAGATTACTTACCACCAGATTAATGAATCTCTTAGAAAACGTGCAAACATTTTGTCAGGAAAGTTGACTGTAGCAGAATTTGTTTTTGGGTTGAGGTTATGCATTTTCTTTTCACAAAAGCAGCAGTATAATTGTACTCTACAGCCACATGTGTACATTTATCAACCAGGGGTAAGTTCTAGTAGCTGTTGCTAAAGCATCTACATTCTTTAAAAATTCTAATGAGTGCATGAAGGGAGAAATACATAACACAGTGTAAAGTTTCCAGCCACTTGATCTTTTACAGTAATTACAGCGCTGATGACTGATAACTTGAAATAAATTGTACACTGGATTTTCCTACTATTTCAAAGCTAACGTTTCAGTGCACAGTTGGACTGTGTATATCTGGAACAACCTTTCTCTGTTCCTGAACACAGTACTCTATGGATAGATATGTCGATTTATGTCCTGATGTAATTACTCCCCAGATTAATGTGCAAATGCTATTCTGCAACAGTAAGGAGCAGTTTTTCCTACACTCTCCAAGCAGCAAGTGTGTTGATGGGAGGACTCCTGTGGGAGGACCCGGTGCTTTAAAATTTTTATTTTTTTGTTGTTGCTGTGGCTTGGTTGTGTGGGTGCCCTGTGCCACACGATGCCACAGCACCACTTTGACTCGGCCACCAGGTGTAACTGCAGTGAAAAACGCAAAACTGAAAATAACTCATGAACGATTGGAGATACCCGAAAACAAATATGCCCACGTCACTACCAGATGCAAGGTCTTATAAATCATGTCTCTATGTCAATCAGTTATTGAGATCATTCTTGAAGTGCAGACAGACATTGTCATTTTATAAGTATAGAAGAAGATAGATAGAAGAAGGTTAGCACTGAACTTGTTGGTAGGAGATATAATTGTCGTTTGTATCTTGGGATTTGCAACACTGGGTGTGGCACAAATTGATCGTAAAGTAGTGCTTCCGACTGAAACAAAAGTTAGCTTTTCATTAACCAAGAATGGAAAAATTCTGACCGTGAGAATGCCTGGTACCGTGTTCATGTGTTCCTGTTCTGTTTTACAGATGCGATGTTGATGGTGGCAGAAAGACTGGAAGGCCCCTTCAATATTGAATCAGTCATGGATCCCATTGATGTAAAGATTTCGGATGCAATTATGAACATGCAGGATAACAGCATGCAAGTGTCCCAAAAGGTACATTTGTGCTTTGTTCTTTGGAAGCGCTGTACTTCCTCTGCTGTTTGAATTGATAGGATGGTTCAGGTTTTTTTAAAACTTTTTGTCTGTGCTGCCAAGTGTACCAACAACAAGCACGGTACAATAGTTTTCTCCAATACTTTCAGTATCTATATAGCTGTGCGAGCAAGCCAGAATTCAAATTCCTTGAATTCCTTTGTTGAAAGTGTTGAAACTTGCTCTGATGCCAACTCTTTGTCCTGACAATTAATGTGTATAGGTACAACTTTCTATGGTGTTGCATGATTTTTAGAGCAGAAAGGAGTGGATGTATAAAGATAATTGGGAGAAAGTGCAGAAGTGACTAAGAACAAATGACTCTGAACAAGTAAAAGGAAACTAAGCACGTTGAAACTGCATTGAACTGCAGTATAAAGACTTGGTTAAAATCCAGTCGAACTCATTTGTTTATTCTCCGCATTCCTTTATGATTGCTCCAGACAATAATTTGGAGCAAGTCACAGGGAAAGTAAAATGTTATGCTCTGTGGTCTGACGAGAGAAAATAACTTTTCAAATTCTCATGGTATATCTTTGTTCAATTGATTTGTTTGACTCAGATTGAGTTATTACAGATTGTAGTGAGATCGTGTAGAAATGTTGTCCTCCTGGGAAAACTTGCATTTTTACAAGAATATTTGCATGCTTTTATGTACCAAAAGGACTCTTAAGATTTACATAAGATGTAAACTGTTCATTTGACACTAAGTCAAAGTAAACCCAGTACTGAATTTTTTAAAAAAATTGCATTTATCTAGATTCTAGTTGTAGGGTGACAACATGGAATTATCTTGATGCCTTTTACTGTGTGCTTCTCTTTGAAGGCAAATTGACTGATAGATTTTTAAAGTCTATTAGTTATATGTTCACAGTAGCTGTACGTTTCACAGTCAGTATGGTCATTAAACTCCTTTAATAAAGGGAAATAAAGGTGAAAATTCTCCACGGCTTATCTGGGCCGGTCCCTATTGAACATGAAGGATAAACTGCTTTCGAAAGAATGAAGGAAACAATACTAAAGCTAAGCACTGAGCACCGCTTGTGAGTGACGACTAATTGTGTTCTTTCAGGTGTTTCAGGGATGTGGGAAACCCAAGCCAGTTTCATTGAGCCGGCCATCGCGAGCAGTTTCTGACGGCTTTAATGCCCGTTTCAGACCATATAGTCCCGAGGAGCGTCCCACCACAGCAGCTGGGACAAGCCTGGATAGACTGGTGAGTGTGTGAAAGTATGGCGTTAAACTTAATGATGCACACTATATCATGAAGGATTTCTATGTTTAATTCATTCTTTAAACAATGAAAGTGTATTCAGGAATATCCTGGGTTCATGTTCAGTGTGTTGTGTTGTTTTTGTACCTTTTTCTATATTTCACACCTGGCAGATTTAGCAGATTCCTCTGCTTAACTGATGCAAGTCAGGGAGATGTGGCCAATGATTCTAAATTCCTGTTAATCACTAATGTTCTCAAAGTGGCAGCCCCCCCTCTGCAGCAGAGCCTGCGTCAGTGACGGGTGAGATGGAGACGGGACCCAATCTTTAGTTGACAAGATCGCCTGTAAGAACTGTGGTGGTGGTGGTTGGGGGTGTGGGGAGAGAGGGCGAGAAGACAGAATAAGGCAAGGAGAGTGTTTGCAGCCTGCAGCCAGGGAATAAATTCAAAGCATCTGGTTTGAGGATTGGATGAAAATAAAATTCAAAGGCTGGGATACGAATATAATATCGAAATGAGAATGAACCTAATCCTACCTAATCCATTATGTCTGTTTAAGGAGCCAACTCAGTCATTCTTTGCTTTCCTCTTCCTTTCTCTAAGCCTGGATCTCCACATTGCCTTCTGAACAGCGAGAACCGATTTCTTGAGTGTTTCAATTGGGTCAGGGTCAATATTTTCTGGCAATATATTCAATATCTCCAGTCTGCCAGGAAGAGCTTCATTTCTTTCTGTTGTTTTTATACAACACAATTTGAATTGATTCAATTAAGTTTGGGTATTCAATGGACGCTAAAAATGTTGTATAACGGAGGATTGAGAAAGATGAACTGAGCTGGCAAAACTACTGCCAAGAGCTGTTTCAGATTTGTATCATGACCTGTGCTGTATAACCTTGAGGGAATAGTCTTAACTCTGGTCGGATTGCCTGCAATGCAGAGCTAATACTTAAAGTGAAAAATGGGAGTTTCTGGACTGCCCTAAAATATTTTAACAGCAAAACTCTCGCATTCCCATTTCACTCGCCCGACTCCACTGGCTTCCCATCACATAGAGGATACAGTTCAAGATCCTGGTCCTGACCTTCAACGCCCTTCATGGTCTTGTTCTTCCCTACCTCTGTGACCTCCTAACCCCCTACCATCCTGCTCGCTTTCTCCACTCAGCGGGCTCCGGCCTGCTTCACTTCCCCCCACCTCATTTGCCTCACTATTGGTAGGCGGGCCTTCTGCCATTCTGCCCCCACCCTCTGGAACACCAGCCCACAGTCCCCTTGCCTCCTTCAAGACCCATCTCAAAACCCTCCTCTTTGACCGTGCTTTCGATCACCCTGCTTCTCCCCTGCTCTCCACCCTCCCCGATCCGGACTCCCAGCTCGAGTCCGAAACTCTGTCCGTCCGGCGCCTTGGGACGTCCTCCCGACATGAAAGGCACTTTACAAATGTAATTTTGTTGTTTTTAGTAATTAAAAAAAATTGAGTGCTTGCCACTGTATTATGGAGGAGCAGAGGTGAGTGAGAGGAATGTTGGATCATCAGTATAATTCCAGAAACAAACTCAGCAGGTCAGGCAGCATCTATGGAGAAAGGAAAGTGAGTCAACGTTTCTGGTATAATTCCAGTCTGTCTGATGCAAATGGCTCTGCTTCAAAGCATTGCACTGAATTAATGCCTGAATAGACAAGTGCCACAGGATTTGAACTTGCGATGGCTTTCAGTTTGGAGTGTCCTCTGGTGGTTTGGCCTTGGATTTGCACAAAATAACCTCTCCCCAATTGGCTTTTTCTATTCCCTTTATCATTTTAAACACTTGAATCTTTATCCCTTATTTAGTCCGTTTTCATATGGGAATAGTTTTAATTCGATTAATCTTCATTGTTTAATGATCTGAAACCTGAAATTATCATCATTGTCCTCGATTCCTATCTTTTCATTAATATAAAGTATCGAAGCTGGGCACCCTTGAGGCTCACTACAGCTATATAATTGGAGACACTCTTTGTTGGACTATTTCAGTTTAGGTTTCGGTATTAACTACATGTATTTCAGTTTAAACCCTTTTAGTAATACTTCAAAACATGACTTGTTCATAGTTACACTTCCACAGGCAACCACCTGCCTTCTGGTACATTTCTATGGGCAGTTGTCATAGTAGATCAGCTTTCCTTTGACCTAATAGGTGAGAAGAGATGGGATTGTACAGTGCATTTTTCCTGGTTTTGTAAGCGGTGCTTCTGAATTTTGCTTTGGTACTTCAAGAGTCTAAGTGAAATAAAGCACACAGTTAACAGTGGAGATTTATAGCAAACCTTTTGTTCAGAATAGGTGCATCATAAGTTAATGTGAGGACTTTTTGCTTCGCTCACGTAGAAGTGGATCAGGATTATAAATGAGCATTTTGCAGCCAAATTATTTTGGTTTGAAGCACTGCATCCTTTTCAGAGCCATGGTTGCAAAGCCACTAATGATTCAACAAAATAAAACTTTGCCTAAAGCAGCTAAAGTTCCTTTGATGTGTTTGAGTCTGTAAACGGTAGAATCTAAAAATAAAATACTATTTGGAGTATTTAAAAATCAAATACTTTCTTTTCCTTTTCTCCCTCTCAGAATCCAGTAGAAAAACATGGCAAATTTTTGAATTGTGTTGCTTTCTATAGCATCTCCCCATCTCTCTGATCTTGTCCTACCCTATTTTTCTGCTTACCTCCCTCCCCCTCCGCTTCGCAAACACAGGCCTGCTGAGCATTTTCTGCCCACCATCAGTGGTCGGGCTTTCAGCTGCTTGCTTTGTAACTCCCTCTCTCTACACCTCCATCTTTCCCCCTCTGTCTTTAAATCTTGCCTCAAAACTACTATTTGACCGTGCCTGCAGTCGCCTCCCCACTCGCCCTCCATGCCCTCCTCTCTTGCTAGACATCTGATCCGGTTCCTGTGAAGCGCTCCGAGACATTAATGGGCAAGTTATGGCGAAGTCGAGTCGTAACAAATGTTAGCTTTTAAAAACGTGCCCCGTCAAACTTTACTTTGAAAAAGCCACATCAAAATTTACATGTGTATTAATGTAATAATTTGAAGCGATTATAATCAGCACATCCATAGTTCTGGTTAACCTACATACTGTAATTTGTGTTGCTGTGATGTAACTGCAGTTCAGCAATAATCAAGGCCAAATCAGAGAGCTTGCTCAGATCATATCACATTCATGACTCGGGTATATCTACATTCTCACTGAAAGTTGTACAAAGTGCACTTTAAACTCTTAGTCATACACATTTGTTTATGTGTGAATATAGAGCACTGCGTTACTTAACACTTGCATGTGCAGCTCATGCACAGTAAGGATGATCGAAAAGAAAACCATTTTTACAACTCCTTACCTTATTGTAATGACAAAGTCACCAGTATTATGTCTGCCAACTGTTTGTAGGTAAATGAGGCAGGAAGGTCCTACCAATCTGGACACAAACATTCTCTTTTCAAATAGTATTGATGGGATTTTTAATGTTCACCTGATAGTAGGCAAAAGGGTCATCAATTTAATGTCCTCCAAAAGGTGATACCCTTGACAAGTAACACCCATCATTACTACACATATGTGAGCCTAGACTTGTCAGCTGCCCCAATACTACATAACGTGTGAGCCTAGACTACGTTCAAATGCCAAACTAAAGCTTGAACTTGCAACATTCTGATCAAAAGGCAAGAGTGCTACTAACTGAAATATCAACAATATACCAAACCTCAAGAATAGCTTTTTTTTAAACTAAGATTAAACCTAATTTTTGATGTTGGTAGTGAGTTTATATTTAGACTTATTTTGGCAAACCTTTTGATTAGAATTGATTGATGTTCTAACTTTAGTAACCTTTTAGTATGGTTCTGCTAAAATACCTAATTGTAAAAGTCATTCAATGAGCAGCTTAACAACTTCTTGAGTAATTCTATCCTCTGTTTTCAGAAGATTGCCTCCTCTGTAATAAAAGAGCATCTAATTTTAGTCAGTTCATTCCTTTCAGTCAAATTCATTAGTCTCCGGATATGGTTAACGTGTATTTAGCTATTATCATTGGTAATCGGTTTACTGTGGACAACTGACGACAAAGAGAATGTTTGGAAATAAAAGTTTATGTTTTAAGCAGAAATTCCCTACCTTTCCTTCCTTCGCGTGAATTATTTTATTATAAGAAAATGACTGGGGTTGTCCAGCAGTTAAATTTGTTTTACTCAACATCATAAGATAAATGTGGAATATTTTCTGCACATTTAAATAACGATGTGCGGGAAATATGTTGGAATTGTATAAAACTTGTTAGGCCTGGAATCAATTAGGTGCGTCTCCAGGCTCATTTGCGACCTTTGATTTGCATAAAAGTATTTTTAATTACTAAATGTAAAGATACTAGTATAGAAATATACTTCCACGATTCTGTGCAACTGATAAGAGTGGTGATCCAGATGGTGATATTTCATCTTGCACATTGCTTGTTCAGAACAAGGACCATGACTTTATCTTGAATGACGGCCATAGAAACCTCCCTATCTGATCTCGTCTTTACACTGCATGTAACCTTATCAGTCTGTGTTTGTTCCTGTTGCTAACCCACATATTTTCAAAATGCAGCAGGGATGAAAGATGGGATTTTAAATTGCACTAGTGACTAATTGTTTGTTTCCCCCCCATCTTAAACTTCTACAGAAATTGAATTTTTGAAACAAATCACCCTCACTGAATTTGTGCAAGATCCCAGTGGCTTTATGAGTTGATGTGTCGTTACCATTTCAGAACAGGAGGTTCTGAATTTCAGACTCTGGTCTTTCTTGAGTTTGCTTTTCTCAGCCTGAAATGAAGCTCGACAAGCCCAGGCTAGAGATGATCAAAATTAGTCAGCTTCATAACCCCGAGTTGATGTTCCTGAAATAGTTGAATGGCCTACAGTATCAATAACATTGCTTGACACGCTTATGTGTGTATGTTTTAAGCATACTGCATAGACCAGGATGTTTCCATCGAACAGAACTGTGTTTTATTTGTTCGCTTTTTAGGTGACAAATGTGAAAGCAAAACTTAAGCAGGCAAAGAAGTTCTGGTCCACCCTTCCAAATAACATCTGCAGTCACAATATCTCAGCTAGCACTGTTGAGGAGGACGAATGTTGGAACGGCAGTAACAAGAGCAGGTAAACATTTAAGACTTATTTTTTAAAAAAAATATTTTTGGACATTTTGTTCAACCTTCCCCTTGTTTGTGGGAAGTGTTGAAGTAAACTGGTGTAAGACTTTTTTTTTAAGAGCCTTTAAATTTGTATTCACTATTTTTGAGAGTAAATCCTGCAAAGTGCTTTGAGATTTCCCCTGATGTGAAAGGTGCTATGTCAAATGCAGGGATTATTATCATTAATAATTGATCACAGAGCTACAGCATACTTTGACTTCAAAACTACACAAAGCATCTACAAAGGGAACACTGCTTTCAGGTCTCCCACTGTCAGTGCAGCTATTTGAGAACTGCTGACTAAATAATTCGCCCACAAAACATACAGTCAATTCACTTTACAGTATATTCTGTGAAGCGCTTTGAGATGTCTCGAATACGTGATAAAGTGCTATATCAAATGCTATATCAAAAGTATTATTATTGAATCGTTAACATCATCGAAATATGAGGTGGCAGAGTGGGCAGCCAGATCTTGTAACTTTGGTGGCTTGCATAATACTCCTAAAGTGTGGGAGTATACATGTGCAAACATAGGGCTTTTTTAAAGAAATATACTTCCAAAAGAATAGTGTTTTCTACTTACCCCACAATATGATTGTTACTTATCGTGGGACCATGTTTTCTAGGTACACGTTTTCAGTGACTGGCAATGGCCTAGCAAGTCAGATCAACAACCCAGCTGTAATTGTGGACATCACCAAACCAGACATTGTGATTCGCCGTAACATTATGGTGCTCCGGACAGTAACTAATAAATTGAAGAATGCATATAATGGAAACGATGTCGATTTTCAAGACACCGGTAAGTACCTCTCAAACGGTGATAGAACATCTCTATCCTCTCCTATTTTTTCCTTCGTTTGGATTGAGACCATTTGATCCCTCTTTTCCAACCATGCTGTTTAGCGGCTGAGTATTGGGGATGGAGAGGGCAAGGAGAGGAACAGTCGTAAATATTAGGTATCTTCTACTTTGGAACCAAGTTGACTGCAAACAGAGTGCAGTGGAACGTTTAGAAGAATGGACTAATTTGAGCTCTGGGCATCAGCTGAGCAATATTACTGAAAGAGCCTTTCATAGAAATGAACCTGATTTAATTCTTTGCCAGCAGAAAATATAGCCCAAGATGTTCATCTTAAGTTGATGATTCCTAAAAGTACAATAGTTGTGTAATGTATCGACAGTCATTCTAGTGTTGGACAACTTGGGAGAACTACCTTTTAACTTGTTATCTCTCTGGCGGATTGAAACCATTTAGAATGGGTCTAAACCTTAACTGAATGTGTTTTGTTTTTCATTCATAATTATTTGCGGGAGCGGGAGATGCGAGGAGGGGGGCATCTTTTTAATGTGACTTTGTTGTGTTTTGCCCCAGGTGATGAAAGCAGTGGTGAGGAGAGTGGAAGCGGTTGCTTTGGTACCGATTGCCATTTAGATTTTGACTTCACCAGTACCGATGTACCTCTGGTCCGAATGCCCTTAAAGCCCAAGAGAATCAATCCCAACAAAATGGATCCCAAAGACATTGACGACGACAAAAACGGTTCCGACAGCAATGTCGCTTGCAGCAATGGTCCCGCTCAGCTCGTCCTGCTCATCAGCTGTTTGGTGACGGTCTTACAGAGACAATTGAGATAATCGCAGAAGGTGCAGAGAAACTTTGCACTTGCTCTTTTTTTAAAAAAAATGAAACTATTCTTCTCACTCGTACCATCCGGTGACTTTGCCTTTAATTTTAAATTTGTTTTTAAAGTCACAACAATATATGGTTGCTACTTTTCTGATAAAAGTGCTTCAAATGTATTTAGGCTGCCATTGGTATCACTGTATCCGTATGACAGTATGGTTCTTCACTCAGTACACCTGAACACAGGGCTTTTACATTTTAAGATGTGGTCACTATAGCACACGAATCTTTAATGCAGTTGCGTGTTCATTTTTTTTATAAGAACAAATCATTCTACCTGTTATCTTGTGCTACCACATTAAAGAAAGCCTGGACCATATGCAAGAAAATCTTAACAGTGCATTGAAAAATTGTGTCATGGTGAATATCTGTACAGAAGCAAGCTTATTTATCTTGGTATCTTGGAATAATGCAGCACCTATTGATGCACAAAAGTAACTGTTTTATGTAGTTAAGGTTTTATTACCTGTGCTAGGCAAAACTGGTATAAGTTGAAGTAGAAGTTGTTATTTTGGTTATATAGTTGCACAGAGTGATTAGAAGTATGAATGTTACACCAGTTGATAAAGAAATCTGTTACTTAACCTTCCAGCAGCATTTACACGTATGGAAAGAGGCGACAGGAAAATTTTAGTTGGGGTTCCTGGCTGGAATTTGGCACTGTACGAACTTCAATGTTGGCTCGAGTACAGTGATTTTCATATTTCCTAGCATAGAAATACATAAGAAAAGACATAGCTTTTTTATAAATTGTTGACGTGTGCTCGATCTGCCCAGTGCACTGGGTTTCAGGATCTGACAGAAAGTAGGGAATTTCCTGCACTTCTTCCCACAGTTACAGCCATCGGGTTCCTCTTGGATTTAATTTCCAGCCTAAAGACTGTAACATTATCGTCTTCTTTTGATTCCAGCTTTTGTTGTAATGTTAATTATATTTTTATATCAGAATTTAAACTACTTGTAATCTAGCTCAGGGTCAATGAATATTTTCCAAAATTCTGCTCCATAAATTTTGACAAATAGTACAGTCCACAGAAGATCGAAACCATACATATTTGCTGTTTATACAACATCCTGGAGGTTCTCATTCATTAGGAGCAACTGTTTAAATAGTTTTTTTGTGTGTGGGAAGAATGGTTTGTATATAGCTAACTAGCTGCTCATTGCTTAGCTGTGCCAACTTGAGGCTTTGAAAGATACACTGTTCCTTTGGATGTCGTAGAATTTATTTTTGGCTTTCAGACCGTTTTCTTTTCTACAAGGGGGGGAAAAAAAAATACAACGGTGTCTGAAATGTATGCACATTGGCTGAAATTCAGCTGGCAGGCCAGCAAAGAAAGCACATGGTTGAAAAACAAAGACACAGCATCCATCCAGGGAACAGCCAAATTTTTTTCCAAAACCTCATCTTTTGGCTTGTGTGTTCATTTGTAAATTCTGCTTTCAGTCATCTTTCCGCCCCCCTCCCCTCCCATTACATATTTCAAAGCCTTATCACATCATTTCAGGATTTATATATATTAAGACTAATCATTTTACTAATTCTTGATTGTTAGTTTTGGTTTTAAACGCCATGCAAAATGTCATCGGCGGAAGTTGTGAAACGATTCTAGTGATTGGCGGTTTTAATGACGGTACAGAGCCTGCGCTGTGTAAAACGTAAATTAAGGAATGTCATCTTGGATTGCCACAAATTCTTTTGAGTAAATATGTGTGAATATCGAATTTCTGAGTGTTTGAATTCTTGTGTTAAACTAAAGAACCCACAATCTGAGATTCATGCAACAGTTAATCGAATGTTCTTTCTGAATTTTTTCCACTTTGAAAACTTTAATATTACTTTAGCAGTTTTTTTTAAAAAAAGCCATGCAAATGCATTTGGTTGTACAATTGGTTAGAATTATCTGGCATCTGCATTCTACAGTACTTAAGCAAACAAATTACATGTGGAAATATATATTGTTGTATTGTATCTGAAATGGGCATATTTAGGATCTTGTAAGCAATGTTTAGATTAACCTTTTATACTGTACAAACTACTATTAAATGTTGCACCTATTTAGTTCAACATTTAACTAAATAAACATTGTCAGATTAAGTAGCTTCTCCAGGTCATCTCATCCCAGAAGTCAACATTCACATTTCACCAAGAATATTTAATAATAAAAGCTACCAGTACTTGAAACATATTGACTGTGAAATTCCATCTTTAAGTGTGCATAGACTGAAGTCAAAATAAATGAGAGTTCTCCACAGTTCTATAGAAATGAATGAGGGGATCTTTTGGCATTTTAAAAACAAGAGGGACGTAAATGCACACAAGTTTATGTGTAGAAAATGCACATATCTTGTTGAGGGGCGTGTTATCCAGGTTACTCTCCTTGCATGTAGATGAAGTAGCTAGGAGTGAGAGTTACTTGAAACAGCCCACACAGATGGTATGTGTTTGTTCAGTTTGGCACATTATACAAGGCGGAGAGAGTAGAAAGAATTGAGATGGGGCGTGCCTCCTGCTATCATTGGCAACCATTGTGGAGAATTCCATACGCTTTGCTACCCAACTTTCCAGTTGTGAAGGAGGCAAATGGAAACGAGGGGAAATGTTTTAATCCCTCCTCCAACAGAACTCATTAAGAGCATTTTGTTCTCATTACTATTCACATTTAGTAATAACATTTTACAGATTTCACATGGGCTGAGATGTATTTCAGTGCGAACCACTGTAAACAAATCTAAAGGCCTTGGGAAGAATTCTGAGAAATATTGGAATTGCCTTTTAGGTGGTTATCTTCATGATGCCAAAGATCTGTCAGACATCACTACAATTAGTGCAAATTAATGAAAATAACTTCTAAACTATCTTTGCTCCTTAGCGATGCCTTGTTTTTAAAGTCTGGTTGTATTTGACTTAATTCAGAACAGACCCACAGCTGTTTTTACTTAACATTGCAATCACACTATGTTTAAAGATGTATTAAAGTTGTCGAGGGCACTTCAATTTCACACAAAAGTTTGCTTCCCATTGCTGATTTTCTGAAAAAATATTCTTAATTTATTCAGAGTTGCTGAACTGGATTTTTTTTAATCCTTGCATTTGATATAGTGCTTTTCACGTCGGGAGGATGTCCCAAAGCGCTTCACAGAACATACTGTAAAGTGAATTGACTGTATATTTGTGGGCGAACGCGGCAGCCAACTGCGCACAGCAATGTCCCACAAACAGTCGTAGATTAAAAATGACCAATTTATTATTGTTTTTGGTTTTGGAGGGATTATTATTAGGCTCTGTGTGGAGTAAGGAAACTTGCCCAAGGTTTCGCCCTCTGCCTGGAATTGAACTAAGGTCTCGCTTGCAAAACGAGTGCTCTAACCACTAAGCGACAGGACTCCACAAATTGTATTTGTTAATTGATTGAAAAGACTGAACACTCGAACTCTTAAAATATGTCAGTTTCTGAATCCCACTTGCCCTGGTAATACTTTCTCTCTGGGAACCAAAACTGCAATTATATATTCTAGCTCAACTACATTAATCCATACATTGAAAGTTGGCCACATATTTCCAGAATGCTATGTAAAATGTACTTACATTCCAGGCTTATTAAGCTTTTCATTTAGTGTTGTCAAATGGGCCTCAAATCTAACCATTTTGTTTACATTTGTATTGCATACACGAGGGAGAAGGGAGGGGTGGAGGCTCACGTGGAGTACGAACAATGGCACGGAATAGTTTTGCTGAACACCAGGCAAAGCTTCCTTCTCTTTTTAAATCATACCGTGGGATATTTAACTTCCACGTGAACAGGCAGACAGCGTCGAGGTTTAACATTCCATCTGAAGGACAGCACCTCTGACAATACAGAACTCCTCCAAGACTGCATTGGAGTATCAGCCTCGATTATTAGCTCAATCCGAAAGGGCAGCTTCAACCCACAACCTTCTGACTCTCGAGGTGAGAGCGCTACCAACTGAGCTGGGATGGCATTTGGTCGGACTGAGTAACTAACTCCCTTTGGTATAGGGATTCATTACAAGGGCAGAGCCTTCAAACCAGAACTTTGACTGTTAGAACTGAGGACAGAGGGGTGCGAAGATGTGCCCCAGAAAGTGGCAGAATTAATAGCACGTTTAAAAGAGAGACAGATATTTGGGTAGTGGATGTATTTAAGGAGTGCGGCGAAAAGGTAGGGTAATAGAATTAAAAGATCTGGCAAAATCTAAGGTACGGGTGGAACGGGCTCAATGGGTTGAATGGCCTCTTCCTGTTTTCCTGTGTTCCAACTAATTGCTACTCCAACCTAAACGGAGGCATCGAACTACAATGGGAATTGAGCTATTCTTCACTGAGAATTTGCAGTTATCAAAAATATTACTTCTGACCGCGTAGAAAGAAGGTCTACTGAATGCCATTTCTTGCGGAGGTTAAGATGTCAGCAAACTTCATAACTGGGGTTGCGATTAGTTGTTCTATGAAACTCTCCATCCTTGCCATCTTTTAGATGTTTACGCTGTTTAAAACATCCGCAAAGCTGCTGGTATCTCAGTGGGCCACTTGACTTGTTAACAGTCCAAACTGTACCACCGAGTTAAAGATTGAATTGATTTACTCTTTCGAATTCCCGAACTTATTAAAATCCATCATTTCTTCCAATGTGATATGCATTATGTCAGCTCGCTCCACGTTCCCAGTATAAGTTCCATCTGCTAAACCGTCAGTCTTGTTTTTTTCCCCCCAGTTTTATATAATGTATCGGGGAGGAAACTGAAAATGCAGGAAGCGTCTTGTGACGATGGAAACCTTTCCGGGTCGCATTACCTTTGAGGAATTCATCCGCCCACATTCGCCTACAGATACAGTCACTAAACCTCACAGTAAAAATCCTCCTGGGAAGCGTTTCAAGGCGTGAAACGTTTGTGCATCGAACGGAAGGGTTATTATTATTATTGTTCCTGTTACTCTTCTAACAACATTTCGAATTGGTTTTTCACATCAGGCGGGCGCCGTATCGAACGCAAGGATCATTATTATTGCTGTTATTATTATTATCCCGTGCCGTAAAAGGAAAATACATGACATTAATAGTAGCGTCAAAGTGTTTTGAGCGAAACGTTTGAGGCGCATTTTTTATTTCGCGACGACGCGTCACTTTTTGTTGACGACCCTCTTGCGCGGATGTAAAATCAACCGGATGTGTGGGCGGATGCAAATGTGCGCACAATTACCGACCGGGAGTGCGGGGGGAGGAAAGTGGGGCGGGGGAGGGTGGGGGGTGCGGAATAATTTTAATTTCATTTGCTTACCTTTTCCGTTAATGATTTTCAGCATAAATTTCAATGGTTCGATTATTCGTTCGTTCGTTCGTTCGTTCGTTGGTTGAAGTGAGTGGGGAACCCCCCCCCATCGAAATGAGTTCACGACGTTAATCGTTTTGAGCGATTATTTAAATGTTTTTACGAAGGGCCTTAATTCACAATGATATAATTATTTGTAGTTGTGGTGGTGGTTAGTTATTTATTTATTAATTATTTATTATAGTAGTAAGTAGTAGTAGTAAAGTAGTCGTAGGTGTTGAGAGGGGTCAAATTTTGCTGCTGCTTTATTGCTTTAAAAAGGATTTGCCGAAACCCGGGATCGAACCAGGGACCTTTAGATCTTCAGTCTAACGCTCTCCCAACTGAGCTATTTCGGCTCTGAAGCCACGTCCCGCTTTTGCAGCACTTCCCCTTGACGCACAGAGAGGCGTCACGACCCGCCCAACCGCCCGCCCCGCCGTGCGGAGGTCGTCTCAACGGCCTCGCTCACTCACTCTCTCTCTCTCTCTCTGGCCCTGAGTGTTGCCCTCCTAACGCGCGGGAGCGGGGCGGGGCGGGCGGGTCGCTCGCAGCGCACGGCCCCGCTTCGCCGGTCGCGGAGGACCGTCCCGCCCGAAGCAGCGCTTCGTTCTCCCGAGTCCGACGCCTCCTGTTGGCCGGACCGCGTGGCTGCAGCAGTCACAGCAGCAGTCACAGCAGCTGCAGTAACAACAGCAACTGCAGCAGTAACAGCAGCAGCAGCAACTGCAGCAGTAACAGCAGCAGCAGCAACAGCAGCAGTAACAGCAGCAGTAACAACAGCAACTGCAGCAGTAACAACAGCAACTGCAGCAGTGCAGCAGCAGTAACAGCAGCAGTAGCTGCAGCAGCAGTAACAGCAGCAGTAGCTGCAGCAGCAGTAACAGCAGCAGCTGTAGCAGTAACAACAGCAACTGCAGCAGTAACAACAGCAGCAGCTGCTGGTCGGTCTTTCAAGTCCATTCTTGCATTGACTTCTTTTAACCCAACGTAACATGTAGGAGCAGGAGGAGGCCATTCAGCCCTTCCAGCCCGCCCCGCCATTCACTCATGGCTGATCTTCTAACCTAACTCCAGCTGATACCCTGACGCTGCCTTATCCCCATTAGCCCCTTAATCCCTTTCGCGGTAAGAAATCTCTCTCTCTCAGTCTTGAATATGTTCGAGGACTGAGCGTCAACAGCCCTTCGGGGCAGTGAGTTCCATGCGTTCGTCAGCCTTTGAGTGAAGAAGTTCTTCCTCAACTCAGTGCGAAGGGACTGCCTCCGATTTTATGGTCGGGACCCCTGGTTTTAGTTTCTCCAACCGGGGAAACAACCTCCCACTATCTACTCTGTCGTGCCCTTTGATGATCTTATAGGTTTCTATAATTCTAATTCTTCCATATTCTAGAGAATATAGGGCCCAAACTGGTCAGCTATCCTCGTAACCCATCCCCTTCGTCCCTGGTAGTACTAACCCGGTAAATCTACGCCGCGCCCCCTCCAAGGCAAGTACATTTTGGCCCCTGGAGTTGGATCCCTGGCACACCTCTTGCCAGCAAAGATTGTGCCCCTTCCCAAGGCCGAGGGCTCTCTTTAAGCGATCCGACAGCTTTTACCGTAAAACCTTTTTTTTAAATCAGGAATCCTTGCAATTCGATGTGGCACCTCGTCGCGTCTTCCAGGCGTCTCGGAGGGTTTCAAGGAATATACCGTACAACAACAACTTGCATGTGCATAGCGCCCGTCGCTGTATAAATCTCGGAAATGCTTTACAGTAAACTGTATATTTTTGTGGCGAGACTGATTTTTTTTCTCTACTGATGTGGAGCAATGATGGGAACAATTTAGGCCTTCTCTTCTCTTGCCCCTC